ATTCTCTTATTAGTAGCTCGTCGTGTGCAATAAGTGATGAAAAAATGGTAGCTGTAGGTTGTACGTAGTCGTTGGTAGCTAGTGGTTCGTAGTCAGTCCTTAGTAGTGGTAGTAGTGGACGTAGTAGTAGTAGTCGTCGTCAAAGTAGTAGTAGTATTAGTAGTAGTAGTAGTAGTAGTTGTTGTTGTGGTAGTAGTAGTAGTAGTAGTAGGATGAGTAGTAGAAATACTAATAGTTGGTATTGAGTAAGTGGTTGTTAGTAGTAGCAGTAACAGTAGTAGTAGTAGTAGTAGTAGTAGTCGTAGTAGTAGTAGTAGTAGTAGTAGTAGTAGTACTAGTAGTAGTAGTAGTAATACAAATAATAGTAGTGAGAGTAGTAGGTGGTAGTAGTAGTAGTAGTAGTAGTAGTAGTAGTAGTAATAGTAGTAGTAGTCGTCGTAGTAGTAGTAGTAGTAGTAGTGGTCGTAATGGTAGCCGTAGTAGTAGAAGTGGTAGTAGTAGTTGTAGAATTAGTAACAATAGTAGTAGTAGTAGTAGTAGTAGCAGCAGCACTAGTAGTAGTAGTAGTAGTAGTAGTAGTAGTAATAGTAGTAGTAGTAGTAGTAGTAATAGTAGTAGTAGTAGTAGTAGTAGTAGTAGTGGTAGTAAGTTCAATCGTTGTCGTAGTCGTAGTCGTAGTAATAGTAATAATAATACGAAGAGCAGTGGTAGCAGTAATAGTAATAGGCGTAGCAGTAGTAGTGGCGGTGGTGGTGGTAGTCGTACCAGTATATGTAGAAGTAGAAGTGCTGATGGCAGTAGTAGTAGCAGCAGCAATAGTAGTTGTAGTAGTCGTAGTGGTGGCTGTACTAGTAGTAGTAGTAGTAGTAGTAGTAGTAGTAGTAGTAGTAGTAGTAGTGGTGGTGGTGGTGGTGGTGGTGGTGGTGGTGGTGGTGGTGGTGGCGGTTGTGGTGGTGGTCGTAGCAGCAGTAGTAGTCGTCGTTGTAGTAGTAGTAGTAGTAGTAGTAGTAGTAGTCGTCGTAGTAGTGGTAGTAGTAGTAGGAGTAGTTGTAATAGCCGAGGTAGCCGTAATGGTAGTATTCTTAATTGCGAGGAAGTCTCAAGCGGGAGACGTTGTTGTTGTAACCCGGGGGCCAGGGGCCCAGTTTGAGCCTCAAGACTTTTTCCTGCTAAAAAACTGGGTGCGAGCGCTGGGAGGGGCACTTCAATTGAAAAAGAAGCAGTATGCACAAGTGGGGGGGGATCAACAATAATTATTCGTCAGAAATGAGAGTTCAACAACACCAAAAACAAAAACAACAACGACGACGACGACGGCGGCAACAACAACAAAAGATACAAAGAGACAAAAAAAACTGTAAATCATGTTGTCCCACGTGACCGCGCAACAGCTTCGCGCCGACGGCAAGGCACGCGGCGGACGAATAGTCGGGCCTCCCCGCCGGCTCGAGCTTCTCTGGTCGCGGGCCCCCGTTGACCTCTTGACGCCTTCCCAAGGGCCGGCCTCTCGCCCCCGCTCGCTGCATGACCGACAAGACGGACTCCAGAGACCGAAGATGGCGGCAGACTCTGGGCGGTGCCGCTCTCCGAGTAGCCAGAATCTGGGGATCTCAGGGCGACTGCAAGTCAAAGAACTTTTTCCCGGCAGTCAGCACACCAGCCAAGCGACGATGACTCAACGAGCTCTCAGATTGCAAACCGCCAGGGCAATGCTGCCCCGCAGCATGCATCGGAAGAGCGCCTGGCCAGCAACGCAGACGACGCAGGGAGGAGGCGGCAGAGGAGGGAGGAGGAGACAAGGAGCGGGCAGCGGGCAAATCCGGGAACGCACTGCACTGCGGCTGTCGTCAGGAGAGAAAGGAGAAGGAGCACCAGTGGCAGCACGAGCGTCGGGCCGGTGCCCCACGAGGCCCTTCCTCTTCCCTCATCCTTCCGAATCATCCTCCCTCCATACATCTCCCACCTCCCCTCCTTTACGTCGTGTTACTGCTGTTCTTCATCTTCATCATATCCCTCCCCCGATCTCCCCCCCTCCCTCCGCCTTATTCCTCATCCAGCCTCCTCGGTCCGACCTCCTCCCTCCCACATCCCCCTAATCGTCCTCATCCTCCTTATCCTCATCGTCATTACCATTGTCCTCTTCTTCCTCATCCTCCTCCTCACCCTCCACCACCACCACCACTATCAGCATCTTGAATACCATCACCAGCATCGCCACAATCAGCATCGTCATCATCATCATCATCATCATCATCATCATCATCATCAGCAGCAGCAGCAGCAGCAGCAGCACCACCAGCGCCGTCATCATCAACAGCAGCAGCAGAATCATCAGCAGCATCAGCACCAGCACCAGCACCAGCATCAGCATCATCTTCATCAGCATCAGCATCACCATGATTACCATCATCTTAGTATGCATCGGCATCAGCATCGTCATCCAAATCGGCATCAGCATCAGCATCATAATCATCATGAGCAGCAGCATACTCATCATCATCATGATCAGCATCATCCTCATCACCAACATCGTCATCAGCAGCATCATCATCACCCCCATCCACATCCTCATCCTGATCATCATCAGCAGCAGTTCCATCACTACTCATCAGCATCATCCTCTGGGCGGCCTGCTGGTCACTATTCAAGTTGGAGGAATAAAGTGTTGCAGCTGTTATTGCGCAGCGACGCGGTTTGAGGGGATGGCGATCTCATGTTGGAGCTGCATTGGTCGTCTTGCGGAGCTTGAGGTTGCTCGATGATCGGTGGAGTGGAGTTCTGGCCGTACCAAAGTTCCTTCGCCTCTGCTCAGCGGGTTTCTATTTAGGCGCTGGCGAAGTATTCATCCGACGTTTCGGCGCTCGTTGCTCCCAAGGCTCAAATGTCCACCTGTGCTTCGTGCACGGGTGGTTCGTCCATACCGTGGGCAAGCTCAGGGGTGGCTTGCGTTGCGATACCAACTCGCTGCGACTGGTGTCATCTCAACTCGTATCCCTCCATCCATCCCTGGAGGGGCAAAGTCCCCGACGCAAGCGTGATTTGGAATACATTGCGAAGACGAAGTATGTGGACGGGGGAGGGAAGATCGGCGACAGGCCCCCGATGACGAACCCGCACAGTCCTGGGCGCGGTGGGCTATCGCGCCCCCATCGGCGATGAGTGGGCGATCGCGGGTCGATACATCCCCCCTTGAACCGACCCCCCCCCCCTTACCATTGCCCCTGATCCCTCCCGCCCTCCCTGCCCCTCGCCTTCCTGCTGCCCCTGGAGCAGCAGCATCGGCGCCCGCGGGGATGGAACAGCTCGTTAGTCCCGGAAGCGCGTTCCTACCCCTTCCCAGCGCGTGGCTGGGAAACCTCTGCGCGGCCCCAGCGAAGCGCTTCCTGAGCTCCCGCGCAGCCCCTGGGCAGCTCCTGAGCAGCGGCTGCTAGGCTCGCGGGCAGCGCCTGGGCAGCTCCGGAGCAGCGCTTGACGGGGGGAAGACGGCTCGGCCTGCGCCCCACAGGGCCTTCCTCTTCTCCCGCTCCAGCTCCCGCGTCGCCTGCGCCGACAAGCGCACCTCGCGGGCGCGCGGCCGCCAGTCGTCGTCCTCGTCGCCGTCGTCGTGGGAGTCTTCAGAACCTCGAGCATCGTCGTCGGGGCCGTTGTCGTCGCCTGAGCGGGGGGGGGGGGCAGGGGATTCTGACGGGGGGGAGGAGGATGGGGGGGGAGGGGGAGAGAAGGAGGAGGAAGAGGAGGAGGAGGAGGAGGACGAGGACGGAGGAGGAGAGGAGGGGGGGAGAAGGAGGATGAGTAGGAGGAACAAAAAAACAAGAGGAGGAAGATGATGATGATGATGATGAAGATGATGATGATGATGATGATGATGATGATGATGATGATGAGGATGAGGATGATGATGATGATGATGATGATGATGATGATGATGATGATGCTGATGATGATGATGATGATGAGGAGGAGGAGGAGGAGGAGGAGGAGGAGGAGGAGGAGGGGGAGGAGGAGGAGGAGGAGGAGGAGGAGGAGAGAAAAGAAGGAGGAGGAGGAGAAAGGAAGAGGAGGAGGAAACACAGCGCCACGCGTAAGGCTTGTTCGACCTCGGAAACTCCGCACCCCGCACGGCGGGGAATGAGTGGGCGGAAGCCCCTTTATTTAATAACCTCGCAAGTGAAGCAGCACAGGAAGACGAAGGGAAAGCGGAGCGAGTAGCCGTGCACGTACCCGCAGACCGCGAGGCAGACGAGCCGTCGGCGCCGCCTGGGGGGCCAGTCGTACCAAAACCACACGGGGGCCGAGTTGTACCAGCGTCGCCCTTCGGGGTTGACTCGGGGCAACCCTGGCGCAAAACCCGAAGCGCACCCAATTCGCCAGACAGCGCGTTTCCGCAAGCCGCGGGGAAGAATGCAGGATGGGGAAGAACAGGTAGAGAAGAAGCGTGATAAAAAGGCGGAGGTATGGCAGACCAGCCAAATTTCATTGAATTATATCATCTGAAAGCTTCCCAATTAGAACTAACCAGTCAATCATAGGTGGCTCAGAGGGCACGCCATGGTGGCCCAACGACTCGAGCACCTCCAGACGCTCGAAAACCTCGGCCCCAGCAGCGATCTCATCGAACTTGGCGTAGCTAAGTGGCAGGACGTCGATATCGCGGCCCTGGAGGTGGATAAAGGAGCAGCCCTGTCCGTCGCATGCCCTGCCGAACCTGCGCGCCGTAGACGGACCGGGCAGCGGCAAGCCCACCCGCAAAGCTGCCAGCTGTGCGCCGAGCCGCCTGTACTACCTCTATGCGATCGGAAAACGTGCTGACTTCTGCACGCAGGCAGCTGGTCAACTCCTGGACCGTGGAGAGCTGCTGGAGCAGGCTTTCGTTGGCGCCCTGAATATCCTCTTCCAGCCACTTGTCCCCAAGTGAACACAGATCCATTATCTTCCAGAGACGTTCCTCCACAGTAGGAAGCAGAAGTTTCAGCAGACTCGGAGGCGCCGTCTCCGCGATGGTCGGCAGCACGGCCTGGACCATCCCGCCGAGCGCGCTGGCAAGCCCGCGCCCGAGCTCTGAAACAGCAGAAAAGACAGAGGATGAAATATTTGCGTCGATGGCGCCCGCCATCTCGTCCAACCGCCTCTGACTGGAAGCAGCGGTCTCGTCCAACGCCACATTAGACGCAGAGTCGTTCGAAGAACCATCTGACGAGGCTCCGTCGTCCACCCTATCCCTGACTGAGTGCCCCTCGGGAGCCTCGGCACGATGACCACCAGCATCGCCCACCGAGGAAGCGAACTGTTCGAGATCGCCTTTGAGAAGCGCAATCGCGTCGTCCATGTCTTCTCTCAAAGTTTGGCAATTAGCGAGCTGTTCGCCATAAGCACGCTGCGATTCAGCGAGCACATCAGGGATTGACGTCGCGAGCATGGCGGACGGGGCGAACACCGTTGCCTCTGCTCAAAGAGCGTGCTCAAACTCTGTCGCCGAGGAGACCCAGCGAAGCGAGGCGCACAGTCAGGACGACCATTCATAATGACATCCGCGTTCTCGGGAAAAGCCTCACCGAGCTCCCGCAGCAATGTGTCCACAAATTCGTCAGCCCATGGGTCGGTGTAGTGCTGCCAAAACGGGAATGCTGCACCGAGATCGCGCCCCCTACGCCTCGTCGGTGACGAGAAAGCCCGACGGCGCGAATGAACAGCAACATGAAGCCCGAAAACTGCTGGCCCGAAGCAGCGGCGAAGAGCAGCAAAGATTTGCCAGCAAGTGTAGATACCAGTCTGGAAGCCCCGTCCACCGCGGGCGAAGACGAAACAAATAGAGAAATGACAGATGCAACACTAAGGAAATCGCAAGAGAGAGCAAGCTTGGGAGCCAAAACTAAAAGAAAACCCGTCTTGCGCCACAGTGGCTACGGCAGAGGAGGAGGAGAGAAAAAAGGAGGAGGAGAGAAGAGGAGGAGGAGGCCACGTCGGGAAGTCGCCCCGCGCCCAGAGAGCGGGCCGGCAGGACCCCCGCAGCGGCGACGAGCGCGGCGCCCGGCCCGCGCGATGGCCGGCGCCCGCGGCTCCCGTGCAGCGCACCAGCAGGCGCCTTGCGGCCGCCTGGCGGCCGCCTGCGGCAGGGGGCCTCGTCGCACCCCGCCCGCCCAGAGAGCCGCAGGCCCGCGGCGGCGGCCGCCACCCCCAGCGCGCACGTCAAGAGGCCTGCCCAGTGTCCACGACTCCAGCTCGCGAACGTTTGCTCATTCTCGGCGTGTCGGCATTGGGCTTCAGGACGTCGGAGGGGTTCGGGATGTGTCTGTGGGGGAGGAAGGAGACGAGGCTGCAGGCGTGACCGCCGCCCACAGCAGCCCAAGAGCCCAGGGTGCGACCGCTGCCGCGGACGCCACCCCTCCCAAAGAGTGAACGTTTCCTTATTCGGCGTTTTCGACATTGGGCGGAAAGGGGGAGAGAGGGGGGGGGGGCATCTGGCTCTGGACCTCTGCTTAGCGCGACTGTTTGCAACAGCGCGTCCTGTGGGGGAGACTCCACCTGCCTGAAACAGACGCCAAAAACAGCCAAGTATCTACTCCATGGGGGGGGAGGAGGAGGGGTGCGAGGGCCCGCGCCGATCCGCAAAACACTGAATGAAAAAAATACCACCTCCCTCGGCCTGTGCTGCTTCGAGGGCTGCCCAAGCAGCGCCACGGCCAGCTTGGGCCAGATGTCGTGCGACGTGCACGACGGCTCCAGTGGCAACCAGTACCAGAACCCCACCGTGGACTGCGAGACGCACAAGTTGCGCAAGTGCGGCTCCTTGCACTACGACGACGGCGACGATGGCGCTTTCGATCCCTATGAGGGCTGCAGCACCACGACCGGCTGGAACTAGCCGTGGTGCTACGTGCAGGGCGGCACCAAGCGCAACGAGTGCAAGAACTCCACCGTAGATTGCGAGACGCGCAAGTTTCGCAAGTGCGGTTCCCTACACTACGATAGCAACGACGACTGCTATTTCAGGTCCTACCAGGGCTGCCGCGCCACGGCCGACTGGGACCAGACGTGATGCTACGTGCAGAGCGGTACCAAGCGCGGTGAATTGCGAAACGCGCAGGTTGCGCAAGTGCGGTTCCTTGCACTACGATAGCGACGACGGCTGCTTTTCGAGCCCTACCAGGGCTGCAGCGCCACGGCCCACTGGGACCAGACGTGGTGATACGTGCAGAGCGGTACCAAGCGCCGTGAATTGCGAGACGCGCAAGTTGCGCAAGTGCGGCTCCTTGCGCTACAATAGCGACGACGACTGCTTTTTCGGGCCCTACCAGGGCTGCAGCGCTACGGCCCACTGGGACCAGACGTCGTGCGACGTGCAGCGCGGTACCAAGCGCCGTGGATTGCGAGACGCGCAAGTTTCGCAAGTGCGGCTCCTTGCGCTACGATAGCGACGACGACTGCATTTCGGGCCCTACCAGGGCTGCAGCGCCAAGGCCGACTGGGACCAGACGTGGTGCTACGTGCAGAGCGGTACCAAGCGCCGTGAGTTGCGAGACGCGCAAGTTGCGCAAGTGCGGTTCCTTGCACTACGATAGCGACGACGACTGCTTTTTCGGGCCCTGCCAGGGCTGCAGCACTACTGCCGACTGGGACCAGACGTGGTGGGTGAAACGCGCAAGTTTCACAAGTGCGGCTCCTTGAGATACGATAGCGACGACAATGCGATTGCGTTGTCGAGCCTGGGCTGCAGCGCCACGGCCGACTGGGACCAGACGTCGTGCTACGTGCAGAGCGGTACCAAGCGTCGTGAATTGCGAGGCGCGCAAGTTCGCAAGTGCGGTTCCCTGCACTACGATAGCGACGACGACTGCTTTTTCGGGACCTACCAGGGCTGCAGCGCTACGGCCGACTGGGACCAGACGTCGTGCGACGTGCAGCGCGGTACCAAGCGCCGTGGATTGCGAGACGCGCAAGTTGCGCGAGTAGGGCTGCAGCGCCACGGCCGACTGGGACCAGACGTCGTGCGAAGTGCAGCGCGGTACCAAGCGCCGTGGATTGCGAGACGCGCAAGTTTCGCAAGTGCGGCTCCTTGCGCTGCGATAGCGACGACGACCGCATTTCGGGCCCTACCAGGGCTGCAGCGCCAAGGCCGGCTTAGACCAGACGTGGTGCTACGTGCAGGGCGGTACCAAGCGCCGTGGATTACGAGAAGCAAATGCGGCTCCTTGCACGACGATGGCGACGACGATAGCGTTGTCGAGCTTGGGCTGCAGCGCCGCGGCCGACCTGGGACCACACGAAGGGCTACGCGCAGGGCGGCACCAAGCGCAACCAGTACCAGGACTCCGAAATGGTGAATTGGAACACCCTTACTCTGGAGTGGTCCCACTGTGGTGGTCCTCAGGCTACCCTTCGACGTCGGAAGGGTGGAGGATGCCGTCGTCTCCAGAGAGGCCCCGACGTAGGATGCCTTCGTCTCCGGGACTCCACTGCGGATCGCGAGACGTACAAGTTGCACAAGTGCGGCTCCCTGCACTGCGATGGCGGCGACGATGGCAAGCAGCACCTGCGCCGGCGCGCCAGCGTGCCGAGCAGCAGCTGGCGAGGGCACCGAGCGTGGGTTGGGGCGAATCTCTAAAGGAGCCCAAGGACAGACAAATATACATAGATAGGTACAAATTCCAGGATTCCCCATATTTCACAACCATCCTGTGGTGTTGGGTCCTCGTTTTGAAGAGACAGCGCCCCGCGTCTCCTTCCTTCCTTCCTTCCTTCCTTCCTTCCTTCCTCCTCCCCCCTCCACAATTACACAATATGAAAATACTCTCCCACTTCCCCTGATGGCGTCCGGAAGATATTCGGCACCCCCCCGCGTACTGTTTTTTACACACAGGATTCCCCGGAGTTGGGTTTTCGCTTGTGTTTTTTCTAAAATGCTGCTCTCGCTGAGGCGCCGGCCTCATTTCTGCTCCCGAATCGTTCCGAATCGTGCTCCCGCTGCAGCGTGGGCCTCATTTTCGGATCGGTGTTTGGCCTCCGTCGTTCAGGATGGCGTTCTCGCCCCAGCGCGGGCCTCTTTCTCGCGCGCCCATCCGCCCGCCACCACCGCGCCGCACCACCACCACCACCACCACCACCACCACCACCAGCACCACCACCACCACCACCACCACCACCACCACCACCACCACCACCACCACCACCACCACCAGCACCACACCACCACCACCACCACCACCACCACCACCACCACCACCACCACAACCACGCACACACGCACGCACGCACGCACGCGCACCACCACCCACTAGTTACGCACGCGCGCGCGGAGCCACAGGTCCGCTGCGACACGCGTCCGCGGATAGAGAAAATCAGCGCCATGGTAAGGGATGGGAGGGAGGGGTAGGACGTCAGATATGACGCGAGCGCACCTAGCTTGTCCTCTTCCTCCTCCCCCCCCTTCCTCAATGATACTGGAGAAAATCCGATCCGAGTATGTTTAGGGCTATAGGGTTATGGGGCGATAGGGCTATGGGACTATAGGGCTATGGGGGGCTATAGGGCTATAGGGTTACAGGGTTATAGGGCTATAGGGCTATAGAGCTGTAGGACTATAAGGCGATAAGGTGATAAGGCTATGGGGGGCTATAGGGCTATTAAGGCTACAGAACTATAGGGCTTTAGGTCTATAAGGCTATAAGGCTATAGTGCTATAGGGCTATATAGGGCCTACTGGGCACCCGGGCACCCGGGCACCCCGGCACCCGGACGTGCCGCCGAAATCGGCGCCGTGCCTCACCTAACCATATGAATCCGCTTGGACCCCGACAGAGGCAAGCTCATTCACGCCCTCCGTCGTTCCCCAGGGTCAATTTGGAGCCCTCTGGTGGTCTGGGGTGGCCCAGCGCTGGTTCTGGCCAGCAGAAAGGTTCTCGGAGTCTCCTGGGATGTCACTTGGAAGCGTTTTGGAGGTCTCTTGGGCGTCTGGGGGAAGTCTTGGCGGGCCCAGGGCCGTCTTTGAGCGTCTTGGGTGCCTCGGGGATCCTCTTAAGGCCTCTTGAGGGTCTTTAGGGAGCGTCTTGGGGGCCCTTTGGGCTCCTCTTAGAGCCGTCTGGGCGCCTCTTGGGGCCTTCTTGGGTCGCTCGTGGGAGCTTTAGGGACGCTCTTGGAGCCATCTTGGAAGACATCGATACAAATAGAGGGGAGCTCCAATTAGCCTCGCCCTTCCAGAGTGCCTGAAATCGTCTATTGGGGCTCTCTTGGAGCGCTCTTGGACGCTCTTGGGGCCGTCCTGGGGCTCTCTTGGGCCCCTCGTGGGGCCCCCTTGGGCCGTCTTGGAGCCATCTTGAGGCCTCGGATGGCCATCGGAAGCGAAAAGGCGAGAATGCCAAAAACATTGATGTCCCTGAGGTTTGGGAAGGACTCTGGTCTCTTGGGGGCTCTTTGGCCACT